ACGACGTCTCTCTCTCTCTCTCTCTCTCTCTCTCTCTCTGTCTCTGTCTCTCTCTTTTTCTGTCTGTGGCATCTTGCATTGTGCTTTATGATCTCTACAGGGAACTGCATTTACTCAGTCAAACAAGTCCAAGAAGAAGAAATAGAGCATCTCGGTGACAGCCTCGGGGCAGATGGGCTCTCTTTGTAATCCAGTGCAGTTGTAAGATCGAATAGGCGAGGTCAGTTTAGACAGTTGCAGTGAAGCTGCTTCGAAGTAAGATGAGAAGCTTACCTTTGCGGTTATCATTTTCATGAAAGAGTTATTGACTTTTATGTTTCTTTTGTAGAGTGTTTTAGATTTCACATGGAGTGAGTTAGGTGGCCTAATATTTTTCTGGAGAGAAAAAAAAAAAAAACAATTTTGTTTTGCTTTGGATTGTTTAACAGAACTTCATGAAGAATGTTCACACTAATCTTTCCATTCTAGTGCGCCCATATCCTTTTGGGCATATTGATATCTACTTTCAACTCAATGCCTTAACTATAAATGCAATAAAAAGATCCTCACTGAAAAAAAAGATCCTCCAAGGGGGAAATTTATCATAATACACGAACTATTTAATAAGGAAAAAGTTTATATAGAGCCGAGGCTCCAAACAATCAAACTAGAGCACTCCTCAAAAGTTAGAAGAGGTTGTTTTGATGCCGTAATATCCATCTCAACATATCAAGATGCGTGGACATGAGGAAAAAGTGGATTTCAAGTTTTGGAAACAGTGCATCTTGTAATGCATTTTTGGACCGTCAATTTTGAAGATTTTTAATTCTTTAAGATTTTTAACTTTTCTTAGAACTGTTAGATCTACAATTTTTTTAAGCTTGAAATTTTTTAATTAAAGATGAAAATATATTTTAAGACTATCACGAAGATTTTCTATCACGAAGATTTTAAGTATTGAAATCATATTTTTTTTTACTATTTGAAAATGCGCTTTACTTTGATTGTTTAGGGCCTCGGCTCTATGCAAACTACACCCATTTAATAATACCTATTTTAAAAAATTTAATTGCAAAAAACTTGTCAAAATATACCTGATCATGAAATGGAATTAATAATTCAAAATTAGCCTGTTTGGTTCGTTGAGGTTTTGTCAGGGAGTCAGACAAGTCTATTAAAATGCAAAAAAATTAAAATTAAAATTAACATAGGGATTTATCAATTTCATCCAGGAATCCGGTCAGTCCTGTTTTGCTAGGAGATTTGTGATTCGGAACAGTGGGTTTTAAGTTAGTATTTTAAAACTCGGTCCAGTGAGCTGGCCATCTGGAAATTTGGTTTGGATTGGTGAATAGCCGGTTGGGATAGGAGAATCGTACTGATTCTCATGTGAGAGCTAGTCCGAAAACATTGAAAAAAAATAAAAAAAGAAACAAATAGAAATTTGATTTGTGGGAACCAAGCTATCTAGCCGGTTCGAGCCACTCGGTTTTCCTTATAGACTCGCCTGGTTCCCCGATGGAATGGCAAGTCCAAGGAAATTGAATCGATGCATGGTTTTCAATTTAGACCAATTCCATGTGATAATGGCACGTGTGATCCAAAACTGAAATTTAAAATACTGAAACTAGTGTTTTTGAACTTCGATTTGGGGGGTGGATCATACACCGAACATATCTGTATTGGATCGCCATATTCTATGCCGGTTTGAATTGGCAATCTAAAAAATATCAAACAATAAAAAAAATTTAAAGATAACAAGGCGAGTACTAATGCCTTTTGTCTTAGTGAATACATGATTCGGATTAGCGATTCCTGATTTGTATTGTGGGTTTTAAAACATTGGTTGAAACCAATGATTTCAAATTCATCGGTCTAGATTGGTGTCACGCCCCAAGAATTTTCAATACTGATATTCTTGAGATGTAATTGTCAAAACATATATACTTCTCTTTTTAGGAAAAATTTACAATAGCAAATTCTTACAAAGTAACAAAAGAAAGTTTAAGCATAATTACAATATCTTCCAGAGTTGATGCTGAAGAACACTCAAAATGAAATCGCAGTTATCTTGAAAAAAATGTTTACTATAATTTGATGAGTTTGGCTACTCAGTAAGTGATCATCATAATTCTAAAAATAATCATGGTTGAAAGATATCAATATTTTAAAAAAGGAGATCTATTAACAGAAATGCATCTACAGTTTCACTTTAAAAAAAACATAATTAAGTATAATTCGAATAATTGAAATGCGTATAACATTTTAACGTTAGTGCATAATTCAATAGATTTCACAAAATACCCTACTTGCGTCCTAAGTAGGTCACCTACATACGCCATCAGCGTCCTGGCATACCAGAGGAGTCCAGTTAATCCCTACGGGCATACCGGATAGGTCCACTTATATCTCATCAGCGAACCGGATGAGTCCACTTGCATACTTAAAGTATTTCTAAATCTCTTTAAACATTCGAAAGCAACAATATCATGTACTCAACATATCACTGAAATTATTAATATGAATTTCATTAAAACCATTAATAACAGTCACTTTCAATAACATTTCAAAAATAACCAATCAAATATTTTGGGTTCAAATTTAGAAAGGTAGCAGTTTGTAAAGATATTTTAGCATAATTGCCAATCTAATATGTATAGAAAAACTCTTATAGAAATTCAAGAATACGGAATTATCACAATTTATGGGATGTCAATTTGTAAATAAACATTTCACAGACAATGTTATAATCAAATGCAAAAATATCAGTTTTCAAATAATAAGGCACTCATTTGCACATGAATTTTACAATGTCTAAATATTCAAAAACAATAGAAAGAAATTTCACAATTTTACTAAAAGCAGAAATATCACATTTGTTTCTAATAATTTTACAGTATCTAAAATTCTCTAAAAATAGACAAGAAAAATAAATAAATTTATTTATAAGAATTTACAGCATTTAAAATTTATAACATAGATAAAATATCACAATTTTATTAAAAAGATTATTTTTCAAAATAATGAGGTCGCTTGCGCATAAAGTTTATCGCGTCTAAAATTCATGATAATAAGCAAAAGTAATTATTTCATTTCATTTTAAAAAAGAATGGATTATTTTTCAAGATAATGAAGTCACTTACCTAAAATATGAGAGGGAGCTTCCGATAAAAATTCGGCTTGAGAGAGGAGCTCACTGTATTTCGACTAGAGAGAGAAAGATCTCAAAAGTTTTCTAGAATGTGAGTCCTCACCTCTCCGAATTTAAATTCTTAAGACATATTATTATACTATTTTATTAAGCTCCACCTCATACATGAAGTGTGACGATAATATTATACGTGAAGCCTTTGAGGCCCACGTCAACTAAAGGACGTGGTACATGAAAGGAAAAAGTTAACAAAAGTGGTGATGGTCCCTAAAGACCATAATACTTATATGGACCATCGCACTATAAAGAATTATTTATTTATTTATATTTTTTTTTGAAAGTTTAGGATTGTTACATTCTTTCCCTCTTAAAGAAATTTAGTCCTCTAAATTTGTGTACCTAATTACTGAAAAAGATAGGGATATTTTTTTCTAATATCGTCTTCTCGTTCTCAAGTCGACTCCTCTCTTGAATGGTACTATCATAATATACGAACCAAAAGAATCTCTTTGTTGCGCAATACTTGTACCCTTCTATCCAGTATCAAAAATGGCTGCTTAATGAATGATAGGTCCTTCCTGATCGGTAAAGGTTCATATTTCAAGATATGGGATGGGTCGGGTTGATATTTTCGTAGTGATGATACATGGAAGACATTATGGACGTTTGTCAATTCGGGTGGTAAGACAAGTCTATAAGCGACATCTCCGATTCTTTCTAGGATTTCAAATAGTCCGATGTAAGGTGGGCTCAGCTTTCTTTTCTTGCCGAATCTCATAATGCCTTTTATTTGTGAGATCTTTAGGAAAACTCGATCACCTTCCTCAAATTCAAGATCTCTCCGTCGGTTATCGACATAACTCTTTTGTTGACTCTGAGCTGTCCTAAGCCTTTCTTGAATTAATGCTATCTTATATGTGGTTACCTGGACAATTTCTGGTCCCAAAAGCTTTCTTTCACGAACTTCATCCCAACAGATGGGTGACCAGCATTTCCTTCCATACAGGGCTTCATATGGTGCCATCTCAATACTGGCATGGAAGCTATTATTATAAGCAAACTCAATCAGGGGTGAATGGTCATCCCAGCTTCCTGTAAAGTCAATAACACAGGCCCTCAGCATATCTTCCAAGGTTTGGATGGTCCTCTCCGATTGTCCATCAGTTTGGGGGTGAGAGGCAGTGCTAAAGGTGAGTCTCGTCCCCATGGCTGATTGTAGCCTAGCCTAAAATTTAGAAGTAAACCGAGTATCCCTGTCTGATACAATACTGACCGGAACTCCATGCAACCGCACGATTTCCTTAATGTACAATTGGGCCAGTCGATCGAACGTGTACATCGTGCGAATCCGCAGAAAATGGGCAGCTTTGGTCAGCCGGTCCCCAATGACCCAAATACTATCATGTCCTGAATTTGATCTAGGCAAGCTAGAGACAAAATCCATAAAGATGTGCTCTCACTTCCACTCTGGCACGGGTAAAGGCTGCAACAACTCAGCGGGCCTTTGATGCTCAGCTTTTACTTGCTGGCATGTTAGGCACTTAGACACAAATAGTGCTACCTCTTTTTTCATATTATTCTACCAAAAGGTTTTCTTCAGATCTTGATATATTTTAATACTTA